GAAATTGGCCTTAGTATTGGGAAGGGGTTGACTAACATGGAAAAAGAAATGACGTTCAGACAACACACTAACGTTCTAGAATGGATGTGGGCCATGGTCTTTTTCTCTCAAGCCAGCTTGCCAGTCCGGCGTGTCAGTAAACCGTTTTGTGGAGGTGTGATTGACATGTGAAAAGCTGTGCGTACTGAATGTGTGCGACTGCTGAGTTTGGAGAAGCAGGATCCCCGGCACAGCGGCAGCCCTAGAGGACCAGGCCGGGCTCTGCCATCAGAATGGCGAAGCTGCTGCCCCCGGGGGCTTCTGGGGGCAGGAGAGATTCCCGGGGGGTCAGTGCCTTCAGGGCCACACAAAGGGAGGAGCTCCCCGAACCCAGCAGGACCTCTGAGGCTCAAATGGAGCAGAGAGCTCAGGTCTGTGCATAGGAAGGTCGTAGGGGTTATGTACTCGAGTGCACACATGTACACACGGCTCACACACGCACCCTGCCTTCAGGTTCTCGGAGGCGCCTCAGCTTAGGTCGGGGGCGGGGGGGACGCGGGGTGTAGCGCATGCCAGAGAAGTGGGTGTGAGACTGGTGTTTCCCAGGCAGGAGTGTCTCGGGGGGAATTGGGGATCACACACAGGGTCGCCCACTGTTTATGTTGTCGCATAAGAGTCATAGGCAGCTGCTCCCTGCTGTTGCCATCACTTCATAGCAGAAGGAATCGGACTGGTGGGGGTGGGTGCGGTGGCGTAACACCCAAACACAGGCAGCATCTCAGGGAGAAAGCCTCGGAGCCTTTCACCGCCGTCTCCCCACCCCCACACTCCTGTTGTGCTGGCTCTGGCGGGGCTCTGTCCTGAGCCGAGGGGAGCACAAGCCACTCCCTGCACAGCCACCGAAGGGTATCGCACGCCGATCCCAGAGCCGCTGATCCCAGGGCCACACCGTGTGGCCTCGTTAAGAGCCGGACCACCTGGGGTCAGGTCTGGGCCCACCACATACGTTTGCCGAGTCCTGGGGAAATTACCATCCCTGTGCCTCAGTTTCCTATGGGGTTTGAGGATTACATGTGTTCATCTGTGGAAAGGAATTAGACCGTTGCCGGGAACATCGTAAGCCCAAAGTCAATATCAACGTTTGTTTTTATTGTTCTTCTCTGTCTAAGCCGTAGAACGCGCCAGGTCCTAGGGTCACGGGAGGTCAGGCTGTCGCTTAGACAGGGAGCTGAGGTGGCCCTTGGCAGCTGACATCACTGGCTGATCTCTGCTCCTCGAAGGCCACTGTAACTCATGTGCCTGGAGGAGACGCCAACACCACAGCGAAACGTACTCTCAAGGGAGGGGCGGAGTGTGGTGTGAAGCTTGGACATGAGAGGTGTGGAATTTTTATTTAAAATGAGACACAGAACGAACTTTCCTCAAGGCGGTGGAGTTCTCGGGAATTGCCGAGTTCACGAGTATTTCTCGAGCCCTGCCTCAGCCAGGCGGCCCTGTCACTAAGGCAGGAGTCCCAGCCCTCGTGGAGGGGATGTCCAGGGAACGGGACAGAAAACAGACGAGCAGAGAAGTAGATAATGTGGGTGTGGGGTGACGAGTACCGTGAACCTAGGGCTCCATCCCCCTCCGCCCACTTCTGTCCCTGGGGCCGGAGACCCTCCTGACTCGGCGTGTCTTTGCAGACGACCTCATCCCGCCGCTGGACCTGCTTGAAATGATTGTCTCCTGGATCTTCGAGGACTCGAGGTTGATTCTCATCACCTTTTTAAATACTCCGATTGCAGCCAACCTCCCAATAGGGTTTTTAGAGCTCACCCCGCTCACTGGATTGATCCGCTGGTGTGTGAAGGCCCCTCTGGCTTATAAAAGGAAGAAGAAGCCCTCCTTGTCCAATGGCCACGTCGCCGCCAAAGCCGCCCCGGACTCGGCAGGGCTGGACAGGGACCCCCACCTCCTGTACTCCAAGCTGCACCTCAGCGTCCTGCAGGTGCTCATGGTGCTGCAGGTGCACCTCACCGAGAAGAACCTCTACGGGCGCCTGGGGCTCATCCTGTTCGACCACATGGTCCCGCTGGTCGAAGAGATCAACCGGCTGGCGGACGAGCTGAACCCCCTCAACGCCTCCCAGGAGATCGAGCTCTCCCTGGACCGCCTCGCCCAGGCCTTGCAGGTGGCCATGGCCTCCGGAGCCTTGCTGTGCACAAGAGGTGGGTGGCTCCCTGCCTAGGCCTTCCTGGGGGAGGGACACCACAGTCCACCCCACAGAACACGGGGCTCCTGGGCCAGTACCGAGCGCTGCCTCTTCTGGGACTTCTTCCCGTTAGTGAAGGGGGCGAGGGGGGGGAGGCTCGGGACATCCCCAGGCAGAGCACTGTGACCTGATGTCGCTGTGCTCCTGGCCATCGCTGCCAGGACTGGGACACCTCGACAGGTGTGAGAGCTTAGTATCTTTCCCTCAGGCAAGCTTCTTTTTCTGCAGAAGATTCCCTTTAATTCCTTTTTTATTGCGGCATAATTTACATGCAGTAAAATGCATAGATTGAAATGCATAAAGCATTCCCCTCCCCTGTTTTAAGGTTCCTCAATTCTGCATTTTAGTGCTTGATGGCTCTCAGGCGAATGAGCCTGTGCTGATGACACACCTGTGTTTGCCCCTCCCCCCCCCCTTTTTTTTTTTTTTGGTCATTGATTCCAGAGAGAGAGGAAGGCAGAGGGCGAGAGAGAAACATTGATGTGAGAGGGAAACATGGCTCAGTTGCCTCCCATACGCGCCCCAACCGCAGATCAAACCTACAACCTGGATATGTGCCCTGACCAGGAATCGAACCAGCAACCTTTGGTGTTCAGGGCGACACTCCAACCAGCGGAGCCGCACCGGCTAGGGCTGTGCTCCCCTTTGAACCGTTGGCTCCCAGAGCTGCCCGTGCCCCCAAGCTGTGGTCTGTGGTGACGGGTTTCCCTCTCATCAGGCTCTTGCTGCCCCGGGCGGCTGATCTGCCCAGGGAGAGCCCTGCCTCGGGCCTTTCCCAGCTTCTGACACGTTGCCGATAGAGCTGCCACTTCCCTAAGCGAGAGCGTCTATTTGGGGCCCCGTTTGTTAAAGCAAACGCTGAGGAAAGAGAGAACACAGCTTCTGAACGATGCCAGGGAACTGGAGTATCGGGCAGCATTGCCGTCTCACTGGCCCCCTCAGCAGCCGCCAGAGAACATTCCATCCTGTTTTCTCCATCCGTTCCTTAATGACCTGTCTCCTTGGTTTCAGATGATCTGAGGACCTTGTGCTCCAGGCTCCCCCACAACAAGTAAGTGCCCTCTCAAGACTTCTGGTTGGGTGGGGGTTGAAGGGGGGTGCAGGGCAGGGTGGACCCCTGTCCTGGCCCACAGGCTCCAAAGCTTCTGTATATAAGGAGGCCCTTAAGGACTGATGATAAGAGTGGACAGATATGAGGTCATAACCCACATGAGAGGAAGGCCAAGTCGGGGTAAATCAAAGATAAAAAAGGTGAAAAGGTGGTCATCTTGCTGGAGTCGAGGAAAGAAACCGGAATCAACTTAGAGCGTCACGCTCACTACGCGCTGTGCGTCCACAGCTTTGCGGTGACGTTGGTGCGAGATGCTGGTGACACTGAGCTGCGTAGCCCTTTGGGAAATCGGGCAGAGCCACGGCCCTCGGGCACAGTGTGTCGGTCAGGCCAGCGCCTGGGCATCCTGCGGCACTGCCCGGAGCTGAGCGTGGTTCTGTCTGGTTTGCTGTGGTGCTTGGGTCGTCTCTGCCTGTCTCTGAGCCTCGGTGGACCCCCTTGTAAAATGGGGCACTGACTCACCTGCCTCCTGGGGTTGTAGTGAGGACCAAGCGGGTGACACTTGTGAATTTCTCAGCACGGCCTGCGCCATCTGGGACTCTGCATAATGGTGGTGGTGTCCTTTGGGGAAGCAGTGATCCTGGGGTGGAAAGCAGGAACTGTGGTCGCACAGCTTCGGGGAAGAATTCCCGCCTCGCTGCTTCCACCGCCTCCCTTCTCTGGAAAGTCCAGAAAGTGACTGTATCAGCCGCATGTCCTCCTGCCTCCTCGTGGGAGCACTTGGAATAATGCTTGTTTTGTTGAGTATCTAAGAAGGGTTAGCTGCTGTCACTTTTACTGCTATTTCCATAATTTAGGGGTTCTACTTAATCTAATTAATTTCACCGACTCTAAGAAGCAAAAGTTATGCACAAAAATGTTTCATGCAAATGCAGTATAATTAGCAGAAACCTGGAGGCAGCCTAACGCTCCCCCGGGCGGGGATGCTCAGTCACTGCAGTGACACCAGACAGGCAGGTTTCCACTAAAGGTCGTCATGTGGCCAGTGGCTGGGGGAGTGTCAGTGAGTGTGTAGTGTTACCTCAGGATGGAACATTGTATCCACCGAAAGCAGACACTGTGGCAACTCACTGTGGAAATGTTTCTAGTTCAGCGGTTCTCAACCTGTGGGTCGCGACCCCTTTGGGGGTCGAATGACCCTTTCACAGGGGTCGCCTAAGACCATCGGAAAACACACATATAATTACATATTGTTTTTGTGATTAATCACTATGCTTTAATTATGTTCAATTTGTAACAATGAAAATACATCCTGCATATCAGATATTTACATGACGATTCATAACAGTAGCAACATTACAGTTATGAAGTAGCAACGAAAATAATTTTATGGTTGGGGGTCACCACAACATGAGGAACTGTATTCAAGGGTGGCGGCATTAGGAAGGTTGAGAACCACTGTTCTAGTTGAAAGCAGAGGCCAGGCTGGGAGCAGGAGGGAGCAGCGCCAGGAGCAGGCCTGTCCCAGAGGGGGCGGCCTGAGGCGGCTTTCCAATGGGGCATGGCCGGGAGTTGGTCCTTTGAGGCTGAGGTCTGGGCAGCTGGAGGTTAAGGAGCTCTGCTGATCCTGCTGGGCGAGGAGACTGAAGTCAGAAAGGATGAAACTGGTCAGAGGAAGAAACCCTTCAAGGAGTGTCAGGAGGGAGTGACATTGAATTCGGGGGGCAGAGGATTTCCGGGAACAGAGCGAGGAGAACGCAGCTGGAGGAGGTGCTGGGCACCTCGGGCTTGGGGGTCACTGAGGGTGGAAGGGGGCCTGGGTGGGGTGGGAGGGGACGCCCCTGAGGCCTGGGGAGGTGAAGGAGCCGGGTGGCTGGGGGGGCGGGAGTGGGAAGGCCCTGCAGGGGTCAGGCTGGGCTGGGTCCCCGCCTGTCCGGGACTCTGGGTGTCCGGCAGCCCGCTTTTCTGTCATTAAGGATTCAGGAAGCTGGCCTGCTGCCTGCTTGCTGCAGCCTCAGTCACGACGCCCCTAAGCGTAGCCACTTGAGGCTGAAGGCAGGCACCGAGGCTGCCCCTGTGGACTGCAGCCCCTCCCCCTGTCCTGTGCCCGCCTCCTGGGCACCTAGGGTTTCTCAGGTCCCTCCCCCGCATTGTCACCTTGTCACATGCAGGGTCCTGGCTCTTCCCCTGCTGGCCCTTCCTCTTCTCTGCCTGTCCCAGTCTCGTCCTGTCACCCCCTCCTGCTCCTCCCCAGCCACAAACCACCCTCCGTCTCCCTGTTCTGTTTCCCCGTCTGGGAACCTGCATGTTCTATACCCGCCTCCGGTGCCTCTCGGTGCCCATGTGAGGGCTGTGTGTGGCCAGGCCTCTCTCCTGCCTCCCCCTGACACCAAGTCCAGGGGCCAGGGTCAGCCCGACGCCACGTGGCAGAGGCTGCCGTCTGGGATCCGCGTGCTAACCCTTCTCCTTGTGTTCGCAGCCTGCTGCAGCTGGTGATCTCGGGGCCCGTGCCACAGTCGCCCCACGCGGCCCTCCCCCCAGGGTTCTATCCTCACATCCACACGCCACCGCTGGGCTACGGGGCCGTGCCTGCCCACCCCGCCGCCCACCCCGCCCTGCCCACGCACCCCGGGCACACCTTCCTCTCGGGCATGGGGTTTCCATTCAGGCCCATCCGCTAGGCCGGCCCCACCAACGCCGAGCGGCACCGTGCCTTCCGCGCCTGGGCGGAGAGCCTTCCAGAGCGGGTGCGGCCCGCGAGGAGGACCTCAGAGGCGGCCAGCGGCCCCTGCTCACCAGCACTGTCCGGGGCAGGAGATCTGTGACATCGCAGCCCAGGCGCCTCCTACCTGGCTGCGTTGGTGAGAGTCCAGATGGACAGAAGAAAGGAAATGAATGTGTCCAGCCCTCCACGGAGCCATGCGGGCGTCTTTCAAAGATGCCATCCCGAGCGCCTGTTGTCTCATGTGTCCGGGGACACGGGTGTGCGAAGCAGCGTTTGCACGTCCACTTGTCCGCTTCCTTCCTGTGATTGGGGTGTGCTCCTGCCGTAGACACGGGCCACTCCATCGCTCCGTGAGCTCCGGCCGAACCTGTGGTCTCCAGCTGACGCCGGCACCTGGCACCGTTCGCGGGAACCTGTGGCGGTTGCCTGTCACCAGTGAAGGGGCATCTCTGTTCCATTGGGGTCTAGTTTTCTTTCATATGTTCAAATAAATCTTTTCTAAACAGTTGTGCAGACTTTGTGGACTGTGTTTTAAGAACTTATCAGTGTGAGCTGCAGCGGCTTCCTCCCCAGCCCCACGATCAGGGTGAGGAGGGTGGAGACACTGCTAGCCGCTCTTTTGACTGACACCAGAAAGGCCGTTCTTTTGTGTTCGATTCCATCACCCCTGGTTCTTGTTTATGGACAAACCCGCTGGGGCCAGAGCAGGACTGAAGGGAAGCACTTGCTCTTGGTGAGAAGCATCCACTGCCACTTGGCTGGGTTTGGAATTTAATTCTGGTTCCAAGTGTTCCTGAAAGGACAGAAACCCCCTGGCTACTAAGACCGAGGATGTTCAAGCTTCATCTCGAGCAGCGGTTCTCAACCTGTGGGTCGCGACCCCTCTGGCGGTCGAACGACCCTTTCACAGGGGTCGCCTAAGACCATCCTGCATATCAGATATTTACACTACGATTCATCACAGTAGCAACATTACAGTTATGAAGTAGCAACGAAAATAATTTTATGGTTGGGTCACAACATGAGGAACTGTATTTAAAGGGCCAGAAGGTTGAGAACCACTGATCTAGAAGGTCGTCTGGAAGGTTGTTTGGCTGTCCGGTCTAATTAGCATATTATGCTTTTATTATTATAGATGGTGTGGAGCAACGCATACCACTGGCCTCCTCACCCATGATCTGCTAATTCAACCCCTGAAGCTAGAAAACAGTAGTTTTGATCCCCATTTGGGAATTTTTGAATGCAGAGGGCCGACGGGAAGTTTTAGTGAGGGAATCTGCACACCCAGTGTACTCAAAGTGTGCAATTCGCTGGTTGTCAGTATACTTCCAGAGTTGTGCAACCATCACCACTGTCTACTTTATTTTTATTTTTAAGAAATTAAATATTGTTGAAAGTATCTGGTTTTTCCCCACTGACCCCTTCTAACCTGCCCCCTCCCCGACCCCAGGCCTTCACCACCCTATTGTCTGTGTCCGTGGGTTATGACCACTATCTACTTTAAAACGTTTCATCATCCCCAAAGAAACCTCACGCTCAGTAATCTCACCCCCTCTCCTCCCAGCCCCTGGCAACCATCTATCTTCTGTCTCTATGGTTTGGCCTTTTCTGGCCATTTCGTATAAATAGTCCTGCGACGTGGTCATGTGTGTTCAGCTTCTTTCACTGAGCACCATGCGTTCAAGGTTCCTCGTGTTGTGGCAGGGTCAGTCCTTGATGCCTTTTTCTTTGAATCCTCATGGAGGATATGCTTACTGATTTTAACGAGGGGGGAGGAAGGGGGAGGGAACTATTGATGTGAGAGAGAGCATCGATTGGCTGCCTTCCAGAAATGCCCCAATTGGGGATCGAACCCACAACCTAGGTATGTGCTCTGACCAGGAATCAAGCCTGCAACCTTTTGGTGCACAGGACGATGCTCCAATCAGCTGAGCCACCCGGCTGGGCAGCACTGCCTTCCTTTTAATGGCCAAATGAGACCATTGTGTGGACGTTCACCCATTCATTAGGAGGTGGACATTGGAACCTTTGGCTTTTATGAGTGATGCTGCTACAAACAGAATCTGTTATGTTCCAATTCTCTTGGACACACACACATTTACATGGAAACACTGTGCACAGTATTTTTAAAATATATATTTGTATTGATTTCAGAGGGAGAGAGTAGCATCTTATATAATAAAAGGGTAATATGCAAATTGACCCTAACAGCAGAACAACTGGTCGCTGTGACACGCCCTGACCACCAGGGGGCAGACACTCAACACAGGAGCTGCCCCCTGGTGGTCAGTGCACTCCCACGGGGAGCTCCGCTCAGCGACAGTGGTGGGAGCCTCTCTGCCTCCTTGGCAGCGCTAAGGACGTCTGACTAACGGCTTAGGCCTGCTCCCTGTGAGGGCTCCCGGGCTGCCAGAGGGATGTCTGACTGCCAGCTTAGGCCCGATCCCCTGGGGAGCACCCCCGAGTGCATGAATTTTTGTGCACTGGGCCTCTAGTCAATGATAAGAGAGAATCATCAATTGGCAGCCTTCTGTACACCCGCTCCTGGGGATTGAGCCTGCAGCCAGGCATGTGCCCTTGATCAGAATCGAACCCGGGACCCTTCAGTCTGCAGGCCAGTGCTCTATCCACTGAGCCAAACTGGCTAGGGCCAGTATTTTTTAATACGGAAAATTCAGAAATAGCGTGATTAGCCATCAGCAGAGGACCAGCCATTCCCTAGGGACCTGGCAGGTTATGGCAATGGGTGAAGGTTCCAGAATTAGCCACCAGGGGGAGCTGGGCACTTTGCTCAGCTGGAGAGCACCTGGATGGTTGCTGCGCCTGGGACCCGGACCCAGGTGAGTGCTGCCAGGACCTCCGTTCTCAGGAGAAGATGGACATATATTTTTAAGCTGCATTTTCTAGACTTTAAAATGCCACCTTTGCTGTTAGAAGTCAAGAGGAGGGTGGAGGATGGGTAATAATCAGAAGAGGCTGCTTCGTGCAGTGACACCAGTGTGTGCGGTTTGTGTTGATTGATGTTGTACGCTGATGCACACTTTTCCACATGCTGTCACACTTTAATAAAAATGCCCTCCGCCCTGGCCAGTGTGGCTCAGCGGTTAGAGCAGCCGCCCACAAACCAAAGGGTTTCAGGTTTGGTTTCCAGTCAAGGGTGTGTACCTGGGTTGCAGGTTCAATCCCTGACCCTGACCAGGGTGTGTGTAGAAGGCAACCAATTGATGTGTCTCTCTTGCATTGATGTTTCTCTCTCTATCCCCCCTCCCACTCTCTCTAACAATCAATGGAAACATCCTCAGGTGAGGATTAACAAAAAGGAAAAGAAAAAACAACAACAAATCTTCCAGCTGCTTCAAAATGCAGTGTTCTAATGGCATCTGTGCCTCCTTCAACTGAGGAAACGATGTTCAACATCATCAAGAGTTTTTTAAAATGAAAACTAGCCCAGCCAGCATGGCTCAGTGGTTAGGCACCGACCTATGAACCTGGAGCTCATAGTTCGATTCCCAGTCAGGTGTCCAGGTTGCAGGCTCGATCCCCAGTAGGGGGCGTGCTAGAGGCAGCCGATCAATGATTCTCATCATTGATGTTTCTATCTCTCCCTCTCCCTTCCTCTCTGAAATCAATAAAAATACATTTTTTAAAAAAAAGAACTTATGAGGAGAAAAAGTCTATTACATTTATGCATGTTTATCATTTCTGTTGCCTTTTCTCCAATTCCTGAAGTTCCAAACTTCCCTCTGGTGTCCATCTACATCTCTCAAAGTGGGATGTCAACAGATGCCACCTAGAAAGTGTCAAAGATGCCACCTAACCACATGACAGCACCATTAGCACATTCATCGGAAACGCAGCAAGAGGGCGGGAGAAATGGGAGTGGACTCAGAAGTTAGGAGGTATTTCTGTTGCAGCGAAAGCCACATAGAACCATTGGACTTATTCAACTAGGGACATGTGTCACCTTGAAAAAAGGTAAAGGGAAGAAGAGGAGGAGAAAGGGTGGCTGGTGTTTGAGCTGGGAGCCCAGGTGTGGGCAGGAGGAAGACTCCGGGGAAACTGTAGGTTGGGGAAGACGCTTTCCTGTGATTTGCATCATGGGAAGGCGACCAACCAGCCCAGGGAAGGAAGCAGAGCCTGCACAGGAGGCACAGGGGGCTGACCGAGGTGAGGGGGCGGGGAGCCCAGGCCCTTCTAGAACTCCTGGCGGCCACCGGACAAGTGTCCAGTGCTGCCTAGACGTGTAGCAAGATGAGGGATTGGTGACATGGAGGTCACTGGCGTCACTAAAGGGGGCTGTCTGGTGGGGTGATGGGGTGGAGGCCAGGTTGGAGGGGGGAGAGGGTGGGCAGATGGGGATATGGACAGAACCACTCTTCCAGGAAGAGTGGCCGCCAAGGGCAGGAGAGAGAGGGGCTGTGTGTTTTCAAGTTGGGAGAGGCTTGTCACAGTTAGAAAGCAGCAGCAGAGGGGGAGGTGAAAGATTCCAGGAGGGGATTCTCTCCTCCTCTGGGCCTGGGTCTCCCAGGAGGCAGGAGGAGGCAGAGGTAGCTGGCTCGCCCTCCCAGGAGCAGGAGGGAGGTGCTCACTCATCCTTGGGCGCCTGGCGGGCACAGCGCTGTCCCACCCACAGGTGGAAGGTAACCATTTGCCTCAGCTTACCCGGCTGAGGGAACCCAGCTGTTTCCACCTCCAAAGCTGGGTGTCTGGGCTGCCCTCGGCCCCCGAGAGCCCCTACTCTGCTGGCGAAGTCACCCCTCAGAGAGGCAAGCTCCCCAGCTGGGTGCCTGTGAGGCCAGGAAGAGCCCAAAGGTGGACCAAGGAGGCCCAGTGTGCGTGAGGAGGGAGGCGCTGTGACCACGAGGCTCCGTCCCCCGCAGTGGGCATCCCCCACTCCACCCAGGAGCAGTCTCTACC